GATGCAGGAGGGCTGCAAGTTGGAGCTCAGTTTGCAATTTAGTATGTCTCAAAATAAAAAAAGGGCTAGGATTGTAGTGTGAAGGACTTGGTTCAGTTTGCAATTCTGGAAAATAAAGACACAAAGGTAAAACTTTTTATGCTATGATATATTTTATGCCATGGTAAGGTGATTCCTTATAGGCAGTGGCTGGTGAACTATGGTCCACGGGCAAAATTCACCTTGTTTCCTGTTTTGTTGGGACACGGTGGCCACCATGCCTATCTGTGGCCGCTTTGCTGCTGGCGTGGCAGCATTGAGGGCTCCTGTCTACAGTTGCACGTTATTTATTACTTGGCCTTTTACTGAAGAAGTTAGCTGTCTCCTCCCCTGGCCAAGAGAGCACCTGACTCATTAACGTGTTTTATATCCATGTAGCTGCCTCCGGTGTCTGCCTAAGTGAGACTGTCCAAAACGCTTTCCAAGGCTTGTTAGCAGAGAATTCTGTGGGTTTTTTGGGCAAGTGTTTTATGGGAGGAATATGGCAGTATTATCTTATATATGTGGTTAGAGGATCCCAGTCAGTATTTGCTGTCTTTTATCTGATTTCTAATTGCTATTTGAAAACTGTTCTCATTATTACTTTAGTGGTCTCTTTGAAACTGAGAAACTATAATCACCCTAAATTGGCTTTGGAGTCTTAAGGGCTGTTCTAGATTTAGTAATCACTTGTCTCCAGGGAATTGTTGTGCTTTGGCATTAGAAAACATCAGTAACACTACTGACAAACCTTATATAATATTTCTGTGAAATTATAAAAGGAACTGAAAGATTCCATGGAGTATCTAATCTATTTTGAGAAAAGGAAGAAAACAGTCCTCGTTGCGTTGGTTGCCTTACTAAAACATTAAGAGGTTGCTTCATTATTTTCTTAGATGTTAGAATCTGTTCCAGATTTACCAATCGGTCTTTTCTGATGAAAGAAAAATTACAATAAAGTTTAACCTTGTAAGAGTACTTTCAATTATGAAATCTTCAAAGAGTTCCACATACCTGTATCTGTCACCACTTCTTTCCTTGTTTTGAAAATTTGCTTTTTGAGCTGCAAACAGGAAGGCAGAAGCCCTTGTATGTTTTCCCATGCTAGTGTTGTTAGCTCTTAGAGGTTAGGTGAATATTGTGTCAAGTTAATTTTCCTAATGAAGGACAGATATAGTGATCTAAAGGTGTTCATGTGTGATCTTTGGCCCTTTCTGTAAGGAAAGTATTTAGCCCCCTGTCTGGAATTTTGGGGCTCTCATTTTAAAAGGCTTTAGCATATCCATATTATTGATGCCTGCACCTGGATTTTTCCAAGTATTTTCCTATTCTGATGGCAACTAGAGGCCATCTATGTGTCTGGCGTCCTCTGTGATCCTCTCTGGATTCTATGCTCTGACTTTCTGTTTCTCCTTCTCTGCATGGAATGCCTATTTTGGAGGGGGTTATTATATCTTGCTAAGGTTTGAATTTTAAATATCCTCCAAAGACAGTACATTGATGGTTTGGTCATCAGCCTATAGGGCTGTTGAGGTGGTGGAATCTTAAGGATTTGGAATTTAGTAGAGAAAGATCATTGGGCTGTGTCTTCGAAGGGGCCGTTGGGACTCTGGTGTCTTCCTATGTTTTTTCCTTTCTGGCTTCTGTGAGGTAGGCTGTTTCCTTCCTCCACCATTTGTTCCCTGTCATGGTGTACTGTGCTGCCGCAGGTCCAAAATAAAGAGCCAGGGACCATGGACTGACACCTATGAAATTGTGAGCCAAAGAAATCTCTCTCCTTTTCAGTTGTTCTTTCAGGTATTCTGTCCAAGAGTGGAAAGCTACCACACGCGTGCCCTTGGCCTTCTCTGAACACTTTCTCTGTGTCACATCTTTGCCCAAGGGGTTTCTCAGGTGCCCCACAGATCTGTGCAGCCCGCCAGCATGTTACCTACAACATCATATGATGTCATTGCGTGTACAGCTCATGGAAATTCTCACCCAAGATGAACCCAGCTGCCCACCTTCTCCTTTCATAGCTGGAGAAAATCCTGAAACAAGGCCATCGCATACTCCTTCTCACCGCTGTCATGGAGCCTTCAGCCCTGCTCTGGAATGTTCCTTCTTTCATGCTGAGCCCCATTTGCATGATTCCTTTATTGATTCTCCATCTCTTCAAACTTCTGATGCCCAGACTCTGTAAGTGACCTTGCCTTGTACTTCATGGAAGAAAAGAATCAACTGGTAGCAATGCTCTCAGCCTTTCTCATGAAGTTTATGGACCCACGAGTTCTGGCACCTGTTAGAAGTAAAGAACCAGTTTTACACCTGTGACGGGCAGCTCTCTAGGAATGATCAGCTTGCCATCTCTTCCCACGTTAGAGACTTTGAATCCTTTCTCCTGGACTTGCACGTGGGCATTTAGACATGCTGTCATCTCTTAAGTACTGATATTCCATCTTAGAAACTAAACTGGAAAAGCAGAAGGATGTAAACCTTTTTCCCCTTACCTTGTGTTCCCCTTCGGCAGTCAATTTGTGCGCTGTGTTCCATGGCTGCCCTTTGAAGAGGGGCAGATCCTCTGCATGTCCTCACCTGTCAGTGATCTGTTCCTCTAGCCTCGTGGCGCTTTCTCCCACCTTGCCATGGATGGAGGTCTCATCCTTTTCTGACTTGTTAGAATGTCACACAACTAAACCCGTTTCTTCAGTCCTCTAATACCTAGTAGTTTCCTCTAGTCTCCATTGCTGTATTTTTTTCTTTCTTTCTTTTTTGGCTTACCTTATCCTTGCCTAGATGTGTGGTCTGGGACACTTTTCTGTCCTGTTTATCTACTTGTGTGACTTCAAATGGCAGCTACTTGTTGGTAAAGGCCAGATGCCTCTGATCTGGACTTCTCTCCCAAGCTGTAAACCTCATCTTTCACTACTTATTTAAATATTTTCGATGTTTCTTAGAATCTCAAATTTGACATTAGCCCTTGGTGTGTTCTTCTGGCTGCTTTTCCACAAGATATTCCTATCCCAATAAATAGAATTTGTGGTGCTTTGGTTCACAAACTGAATTCTTTCCGTGATTCTGGTTGCCAATCAAATTAGACAAGAACTAAATCAGATCCAGTGGTTCAGTGTTGACCATATAGGCATATTTGATTCGGTTCTTGCTCAGTTTGGATTGAGACTAGGATTGTGGGAAGAATTAAGTTTGTAAACTGCTGTGACAATACCTGAGATAAACTTAAGGAAAGATTTCTTTTGGCTCATGGTTTCAGAGTTTGCCTATGGTTGGTTAGCTCTGTTGCTTCTGGGTTGTGGTAAGCTAGGGCATTATCCAAAGGAGCTTTGGTGAAGAAAAGTTGCTCACCTCGTGGAGACAAGGAAAAAAAAAACAAAATTCAGGAAGGGGTCAGCGGCACTATAGTCCCTGAGGGTGTGGCCCCAGCCATTAACTTTTTTCCACCAGACTCTGCCTCCTAAAGTTTCCACCATATTTCAATGCTGCAAGCTGGTGATCAAGCTTTTTGCAAATAGGCTGTGGTGGTGGTGGTGGTAGTAGATGGAATCTATGATCCAAACCGTAACAATATTCTTATATAAGTGTAATGAACATAGCCAGTTGCTCATGCAGAAATCTGGGAGTGAGTTCTGAAATCTCTAGAAAGTGTTATCCCAAATCTGTCACTATTGCATCCAAGCCACCATCATCTCCTACGTTTACCACCCTGGAAGTCTCTTGATCAAAATTTCTTCTTTGTGTTTTCTGCACCTTAAAAATCTCTCTTTACTCAGAGCAGAAAACAGTAATCTATAACAGATCTAACTGCCTCTGTGTCAGTTCCCTACTTAAAACACTTTGGTGACTTTCTATTGAACCCAAAAAATGGTCCTCCTCTACCCCATATCCCTTTCAGTTAATTTCATTGTTTCCTCTGCCCTAACCATGCAGGCATTTGACCTTTGCAAAATTATGCAAATGGATTTTCCGGAAATCCTTTGCCTTACTGGTTTTGAGTTGGAAACAGTTTCTTTTGTGTTTTATACTCTTAAATTAGCTGGGTATCTTGACAGTGGGTATAGTCACTTACAATGACTGTGCCCTGTAGTCCAAGGGATCTCTTTGGAAGAAATCCTTGAGTAATGAAACACGTGGTCGAGGAGGTTTGGGTTAAATTCAGAATCCTTTGCTATGGACTTGGGTGTAGCTCTGTGGTGAAGTGGTTTTCCAGCTTGCGGAAGGCCCTGGATCCAGGCCCCATCATGTTCCTTTGCAAGTCATTTTATTATTATTTTATTTTCTGTAATTTTAAGCTTGGATTGGGGGTGGAGTGTTTATAAAAAAATGAATGGCATAATCTTGTGTAGTGTTTTCAGGTGTCACCCCCTCCCCTGCAATTTGGGAAATGATCAGTCTCTTGGAAGTAGAGACTGAAAAAGCCCTGCTTGGCAGCATTTGTTATTAAGCTTGTTCTCCTTAGGTAAATGTTCCCACCCTGCCCCAGCCACTGGGGCCCCTCTCTGCTCCTGTCCCCTAAATCCTTAGGACCCATGCATTCTCAGCCATGAAGGGCGAAGTGGTTGTATTTAAAGGAGGGGCCCCAATCCTGGCCTTCTCCTTAATGTAGTCTGATTACCAACAAAGGAATTTATTTGAATTTTAAATTTCTGAGGAGTAGGACGGAAAAATATCTGCAACAGAAATGTCCTGTTAATGAATGTGATAGACCCGTCCTTGTTCAGAGCTCTTGTGCTTTCACTGAAGAGGCTAGGGTTGCCTTCCCCAGGCCAATTACCCCACGTCCTCATCCCTAAAAGATATTTATGAGGTTGTAGTGCTTCAATAAGCTGAGAAGTGATTTAACTGTTGCATCAGCAGGGTGAGATGAAGCAGTGAAATGTGGTGTTCATTTTATTTGTGGGTGGGGTGCAAGAGGGAAATGCAATATGAATTTTTTCCTTTTTTGGAAAGCTAACCCTGTGCTCTTTTGTTATCATTTTGTTCTCTAGGCATTAAGTGTAACCGAAACCCTGATTAAGCCTTTGGAAAAGTTCAGAAAAGAGCAGCTCGGAGCCGTAAAGGTTCGTGTCTAATTGGAGTGCACTTGGAAACAGAAAATGTCCATGCCACCGCTGCTTCATTGTCTGCTTTATTCACATTTGGCAGCTTCAAGAGAGATGCTGGCGTCAACCATCTGTTGTTTTATATTTTAAATGTGCTTTTTCCCCTTTGGGGAGATGAAACTGAAAACAAAACAAAAACACCTGGACAGAGTTGTAAAACCTCTAGTGGTCTCCTTGGCCTTATTTTTCCATATAAAGTTTAGGAACTGTCTTTCACCAAACAGCACATCCCTCTGATGGGAGGACCTTAGCGCGCTGGGGAGCGCAGTTGCTTCTCTGTGTGCCTCTGTTTTATGGAGGAGTGTAGCAGTAAAACAGGGTTTTAAGACGAGACACACTGCTCTCCCATGATGCCATTAAGACTAGGAAGAGAATATTGAGTTCTTAGGATGTAATTTCCTGCCATTTACCAAAAATTTATTAAGCTTTTATTATGTGCCAGTATTTCTGTGGTATCGTGTATCCTTTGTGCTGGGGACTCATAGGTGAGGGAAGCAGGGACTCCACTGGGTGATCTTGGATTACGTGGGATTGCTGAGTCTAGCACGGGACTTTGTCCTTTGGAGGGGTGCTCCTGGGATATAATTGGGAACTTCCATGACTTGTGATCTGAGCTTCGTAGTTAGCCATTTTAGAAAATTCCCACCATTTGCTCCTGAATCTTTTGTATGTATGTGGGGGTGGAAGGGGACGCATTTGTGTGTTGTTGGCCCGGTTGGGCTTGAGCTGTGGAGAAGACCCTAACATCAGTCTTAGTAAGAGAGTTTTTATATTTGTAATTTTTCTCCCACAGAGCTGGGGATGTGAGGAGTTTTTAAACAGTTTTCTAAAAAAACAAACAGAAAAACTATTAAAGTCCCTCAGTATAAATAATTAGTAACTGGAAGCACACACAAGAGCCCCAAATCTCCCAACTTTTCAGTTTCTGTTTATAGACTCCATTTCCCTTTAACTGACTCAGAAATCTGTTTGGCATTTCTGATGGGTCCAGAGTTTTTAATGAAGGACCAAGGATCGAGGTTCAGGCCGGAAGGCCAAGAGTGGCGGTCAACACCCCCACACCAAGGGGCTCATGCATCTCATACCCCCACCCCGGCTCGGGGGACCAGAGGCCCCATTTCCCCTCTGCGACGGTGGGCAGAGCACCGACTCTGTCAGATGAAGGATTTGGAGATCTGACAGATGTTCTGTAGTTGGACGGTTCTGTTTGCTATGGCTGTGACCCCTCAGGCTGTTCTGAAGTGCGAATGTATTGGTTCTTTTACCATTGCATTGGCAGCTACTAGATGGACACGCGGAGTGTTTCTTATCCAATTGGTACAGGGTAAAGATGGTACAGGGCAAAGATGGTATTATGCAGATTAAAAGCAAGCAGTTTTAAGTGTGTGTGATTATATATATATATTTCAAATTTATTTTAATATGCCATATGCCCTAGTGAATTTTCCCCATTTCTGACCTCCAGTGGACTCTTCCGCTGCCATAACAAGCTTTCCCAGATTCTAACAGCATGCTTGTCCTGCAGAGCAGCTTGTAAAATAAATTGCCCTTTTAAAAGGCCAGAGTATTTCAGTTCAGGTCATGCCCTGCACTGTGTGGTGACTGCTTTCTATTGTGAAGTCCCGTGTGTTTACCCCTTCATTGTGCTGCAAGTTGATGAATGGTTTTTCTTGCATCCTTGTTCAGTGGAGTGTGTTTTGGCTGTGCTTTGGTAGCTCATGCCTACTGATGATACCTGTTGCAGCTAGTGCTCAGGAGTCCCCTTACAGATACAAAAACTACCTGCCCTAAGGTTGGGGTTTGTGTCCTTTTGTGTAGGTGAAGCCAAAAATGGTCAGGAGGCTTGTTTTTAGCTGACAGTTTTTTAATAAATCATACTAAACAAAATATAGTTGTCTATTTTTTCCATTTTTATTTTTATTTTTATTTTTATTGGTCTTTTTGAGACAGGGTCTTGCTATGTAGTTCAAGTTGGCCTTGAGCTCACTTTGTAGCCCAGGCTGGTTGCAAACTTGCAGCGGTGCCCCTGCCTCAGCCTCCTGGATGTTGGGACTATAGGCATATACCACCATGCCCAGCTTCCATTACATTGCTAAATCTTTCAAGGATTATACTTTATTTTTTACTTCTACCACCCTGTGCTGTTCTGTAGAAGGTAATCTAATAAGCGGGTCAACTAATCATGGTGTAAGAACCAGGATCAAGTGTGTGTAGTTTGGACATTTGATTATTGTGTGTGTCTGTGCTTTCTAGATGTCCTGCCCTATTTTGGTAAGTGTACACTTTCACTCCTTTGGTCAGTGCATTCCTGGGAGATGCTTAGCACTCCCCTCAGCTGGGCATAGCGGTGTACACCTGGAACCTCAGCTTTGAGGAGGCTGAGGTAAGAGGACTGCAAATTCAAGGCCAGCCTGAGCGATTTGGCCAAGACTGTATTTCAGGATAGAAATGAAAAAGGTCTGGTGACACAGCTCATGGCCTTGCTTATGTGCGGCCCTGGGTTCAATCTCTAGCAATATAAAAGCAAAGAAGAACACTTTGTTCTCTTGAGTTAAAGACCTTAGGAAAAAACAAAACAAAACAGAACAAAAAGCACAAAATGATGTTCATGTGGGGCAAAAAAAAAAAAAATAATAATAATAAGTGTTTTTAAAAGTTCAAAGGTTCAGCGGTCAAGATTTTTCGGTATCAGCTTCAGCATTTTTATTTTCTGTGTTCCTGTTCGCCCTCTGCCAATGCCCTCGCCTTTCTGTCGATGCTCTTCTGGGTCGAGGGTCTCTTGCCTTTTCCAGTTCCCAGAAGCCAATTACACAGTTAAGAGTGGTTCAGCAGCTGCGAGGTGGTTTTTGGGAATGGGTTTTTAGAAAGTGGGAGGTGTTCTCCTGTGCCCGAGTCGTGTCTGGGCGGCATGGCTGCCTCCCTGCGGTCCGTGGGCTCTGCTGCATTTCCTTACAGGCTTGCTGGGTTCTCACATTCCAAGTCGCTGTTCAGGATTCTCTTCTAGGCTTGCTTCTTACCTCCTTTTACCCTTTCCCCGCCCAGGGGAGCTTGTCACCTCCTTTCCTGTGGATCACCTTATTTTTCTTCTGGCGTTTTACTCCCCAGCATCCCGTGAGACTTTCTTAGCCTTTGCCCCTGGATGCTGATGTTGCCATGGAAACTAAGTTGGATGTGGAACAACATGGAAGCTGAGTGCGTTGAGTAAATCGTGGAGAAGTACCGGAGCATGACTTACCTGGAAAATTTAAAATTGCTCTTTCTGACATCTGCCCAGGCAGTGCCATGTGGTTTGGACAGACAGCATGCAAATAATCAAGTAAATGCAACTAATTTTTTGATCTGTATTTGTATGCATTATATATATATATATATATTTTTTTTTTTAAACTTTTTTTGTACTGGCAGTTGAACTCAGGACTTTATGCTTGCCAGGCAGGCGCTGTACTGCTGAGCTAAATCCCCAGCCCTGTATTTATGTATTTATATAATTATTTTTTTCCTTTTTTTGTGTGTGTTACTGGGCAGTGAAGCCAGGGCCTCACCAAAGCTAGGCAAATGCTCTTCCACTGAGCTACTGAGCCAGCCCTTGACATTTTATTTTGGGACAGGGCTTGCTAAGGTGCCCAGGCTGGGCTGAACTTCCATTCCTTCTGAGTCTCTTGAGTACACCTCTAATCTGGAAAACTAAAGTATATTGACAGTAGTTTATTCAAATGCCATCTTGGGACAAGCTAACAAGAATTTCATTCAACAGGATAAAAGTTGAAACAGAAGGTCTGAAAAATGCTTACTTCATATGTATTATTAAAAATTTCCCTTCATGAACCCTTTTACCCAATTCTCACCTCTGATTCTCTTTATTGTTCTCTCCAAGCCTTTGTCTAGTGAATCCATTTTTAATCAAACTTTGTTGCCAAGACTCTGTGACTGTAAAATATGAGTAAAAAGCAAACAAGCTTGAATAACTTTTTCAAATTGTGTTTGATAAGCAGATACATTGCTTTGACTTAATTCTATTTATTTTAGTAATAAAATAGACATTATTACCTATCATCTGGCATAGTGTGAGAGACCCTGGGCCATAACAGTGACGTAGAGCACCTGCTGCCCTTCGGGAAGGTAGCAGCTCCATGGGAGGCCGCGATATTGGAAAAAAAGCAGTAAAAATGCCCTGTGCTGGTGGTTGTGGGGCCACATCCTACACTCTGCCCCGCATCCCGCCTCTCGACGCCTGACAGGTGCAGAGGAAGGCTGGCTGCTTCCTGGTCTGAATCCTTTCCCAGTGCCTTCATGAGCTGGGAGATTTGGGACGCTTAAGTGAAGACCTCTGGACTTCTGCTTTCTTACCTGTGACACGAGGTGCGATGCGTCTGCTTGGAGGTTGTTGTAAGAATCGAGGGGACCTGTCAGCAGTACTTGAGGTATCTGGAACAGAGCTGGCTGGGTATCGCTGCAGTTATTTTTACTGTCTCGATTACGTCTTGTGTTCTGTCAGCTTACCAAAGAGTGGCTCAGATTTTTGTCCACTCCATGCCCTGGACTTCAGGGTGACATGCCAGGGCCGGCCAGTAATGATCCTCCCTGCCAGACTGTGTGGCTGGGAGGGGCCGGGTGGAGGACTGGGGGACAAGAAGAGCTTGGGAAGTTGCAGAGCACAACTGCAGCGGGGGCCACTGTTCATCTCCCCACCATAGACTCCTCCTGGACTTGTGCTCGTTGTGGGGTGCAGGGCTGGATTCTGAGGGAGGAAAAGCTGAATTTTCACTTCTTCAAAGAGGCTAAAGGAGCTTAGAGGACTGGAAAGACAAAGTGGCAGGACTGATGAGCCAGGATTGCAGAATTGTGCTTTAAAGAAAGTTCTTGCTGGTTATTGCTTGCAATGTGTATTTCATTTTCATGTGCAAATATTATCCTACCTCTTTATTTAACTAAAAGGGGCGAAAGAGTTGGAGTTTCTTAAGAATTAAGCAGGCCTGGAGGTCCACTCCTGTAGTCCTAGCTCTCTGGGAGGCTGAAGCAGGCCTCTGAGCCCATCCTGGGGGATGGAGTGACTTAAGGAGGCGTTGCTGCACCATAAACAATGAAAAACCTGGGGATGTTGCTCAGTGCAGAGGCCTTCCTGGTTCAATCCCAGCTCTGTGTTAAAAAGACCAAAACAAAAAACCGAGGAGCTGTTTCACCTTCTTCAGATTAGTGAAACATGAAAAGAAAATTGTTTATAGCTCAAAAATAAGACCTTTCACTTCCTCATTTTAGAATATTTGTAAAATGCAGAAAACTCAAAAAGTAAACTGGTAACTTAAACAAAAAATTCTTCCTGCTCCCAAAAGAAAGCAGAAACCTTCTGTTACCTGCAGAAAAATGGGGCACTTAAATTCAAATTCAGCTTTGCTTTTGCAAAAAAAAATTTTTTTTCTTAAACGCTAAATACTTTGTGTGCTACAAATATTTTCTTTTTTTTCTGACATACTGGGTGCAGGTCCAGTCACTTTGTGTGTTAGCCTAATTGTCTCATTTTTTTGTTGTTTTTTGATTTTTACAGATTCTTATGACTTCATTTCTTTGTTTAGAAGGTTCTTCCTCCGACATCCGATGACTCTAATACTCCGTATTGTAGTTTCATTTTTTACTTGTGACTCTTTAAATCCATCTGGAATCAATTTTGATATGAGGTGGCTTTCTCTTTCTGTTTTCCAATACTATACAATTTTACCAGCACTATTGTTTGGCTGATTTTCTAGCCCAGTGACACATGATGGAATATATATATATATTTTTATTTTTTTTTCAGTTGTTGTTCATTCTGTCTTGAATCTCATCTGCCAAATAATCATACACTATAGGTTTTATTTTTGACTAATTTTACTGTCGTCTCGTTTATCATTTTCGTTTTTGCATGTCACTTTTATAACTCTGAATAAGCTCAATTCTTTATAGCTATATTTCACCTGAAACATAAACTTCGTTTGCTTAGCTTACTCATTTATTATGTTCATGCATTTTTTTTTTTTTTTTGGGCTACCATTTAAAAATCAGGTTTTTCACATATTCCTAGAAGAGATGGTCCGGGCAGCGGGGTAGCGTTGTCTCTTTGGAGGGGATGCCTTTCACTGCCCGCCTTTGCTTAGTATATTTCTTTCCAGTCAGCTTCAGTCTTTGTACTATTCCCTGCCTAGATACTCTTGAGTTCGCAATGTTGGTTTACAAGAAACATTTTCACATTATAGTTAATTTGATCCTTGACAAACTTCTTGGATTATGCCAGTCCATTTATATACTCTCTCTTCATTGTAATAAGCTGTTGGAAAGAAAAATGCCCCATTTTTTCCTGCTAGTTGACAATAATTTTAAAGTTCTTATTTCAGTACCAGAAATCATATGAGTACAGAGAAACAAAACAATATCCTGTAATCACATTCAGAACAAATACATGGAGAAATCATTATTCCTGTCCTGAGATTCCAAAACAAAACACAACAGCGTTTGTATAATGCCGTAACATGTACGAACAAATGCATTTCTCCACTCATTAGTGGGTGGCGTGGTGTTTGTCAGGCTGAATTCTTCCTTCAGAAAGCCTTGTGTCACCGTTTTCTTTACCCACATGTTAATCCACCCCCCCCACCCCCGTTGCTGAGTGAGCTGGATGTTTCCTGCTGACTTGAGCTTGCTCCTTCTTCTGTCCCTTTTTGTCTTTCCAGTGGCATTAGATCAGTGGATAAAATCTTGTTGCATATTCCTGGCCTGTAAAGACCTCAGGGTTTCTGCATTTCTTCCCAGGTGGTTGTGATTTGCAGCCTGGCTTCCACTCCAAGTTTTTTTTTTAACCTGAGAAACCGATGCTCAGGAAATATTGTGACCATCGCACAGGGTCACCTCCAATAAGCAATGTACTCCACACATCAACCTTTCTACACTAGTGGAGGTTTGGAGGTAGTGAGCATAAATTTGTTTTAGTTTATTGTTTTTTTATTGCAAGTTGGTGAGTAACATAGTGAGGAGCAGAAAAGAGTATACAATAGTAATAGCTTAGACAAAAAATTCTGTGAATTAAACAAAAGCCTCGATTATAAAAAAGTGAAGGACTCTGTTTCAACAAAAGAGGTGAAAGTAAAAGTGCTTGTTTCTTCTTCTCAGAGAGGAGCTGTGGGATTACCTAGAGTGAGTCAGTACAGAACAATCCCTGATCACACTGATAAGAAAATTTACGTTCTGTGCTGTCAGATTCCTTTCCTTTCTTTTTTTTTTTCTCTTGAAGTTGTGCAAGTTGAAAACAGACATGGGAAGGAGAAACGCCCATTCCCAAATCTTCCCTCCATGAATCTGGGGACAAAGTTAGGGTCTTTAGATGACTTGGTTGAGGATGTCCTGTCCTTGGTTCTTAGAACAAGTGACCTCCAGCGGGGGGGACATAAATTCAAAGTGTGTGCGTGTGTGTGTGTGTGTGTGTGTGTGTGTGTGTGTGTGTAAATGCAAAGGACTAGAGTTCCTATTCTTTGTTGAGTCTCTGCCTGCCTAGAATTCATACCAGAAAAGGCAAGAATACTTCACTGTCTTTGCTTTAGAAAAAATAATTCTGAAGATGGGGGAGGGGCTGCTCCTGCCCAGGAGGTGGTAGCCAGTTTGAAGTGAGTGGAAACATTTTGACACAGGCCTAGTCTGTTCCTACTGATGCTCAGAAATGTTTATTGAAAGCCTAACAAGTTGCCAAACAACTTGGGAGATAGTTTGCCTATAATTTTGTCACTTGTTTTCTCAAAAAGCAAATGCTAGCTGTAAGCAGCGCCTGAGGAAAGGGTGTAATGTTAGCCAGAGGTGCTCAGCACGGCCCCTAAGTATTACTTTAGAGTGTTGACCTGTTGCTATACATTCGAAGTAGTGTTACAGAAATCACTGGTGAGGTTGGAGAGGGCAGGTGAGGTTTCTGTCAGAGGCTCTTATTGTTAATTCATCTTGGACCATTGTTCCTAAGATGTGTTTTCTAAAAGTAAATACTGTGATTTTAAAAAAAAATCTGCAACAGAACTTGCTGAATTTTAAAAGAGTTCCATTTGTAAGCCAAAATCTGTCCCAAGATTGCTTTTATAAGCTTTGTGTTCTTATTATGTGTTTCTGTGTGTTCTTTTTGGTATGTGACATAATAAGTATGAAAGTTTGGAAAACAACAAGTTTGGGAAAAAACCCATTAATGGGAAACAAGCAAACTGCCTGCAATTCTAATGCTGACTTTATTTATAAGCGGTGACCGGAGTTTTACAGATGTTTTTCAGAGAGCACCAGCACAGTTGGTGATTTGTTTTATTCATAAATATTTTTCATATTTTGAGCTTCCCAGTGGATTAACTGTGTGCATGATTTTATTGTTTAATCATAGTTGTCTTTCTCTTGATTCATAGGAAGAAAAAAAGAAATTTGACAAAGAGACAGAGAAGAATTACAGCCTAATTGATAAACATTTGAATCTATCAGCCAAGAAGAAAGACTCACATTTACAAGAGGTAATTCCCCCATAAAAAACAGTACAGCCTTTTTAAAAATGTGCTTTACTTCTGGAACTTTCTACCTGGGATTATAAAGAGATAGAACAAGTTTTATAACACATTAAGGAAAAAAAAAAACACTGAAACTGGATGAAATGATGACTGACAGAGACGGACTAACCTTGGATTCTCAGTATTAAAATTTTTGATACAGAGTATTTTTTTAATAGGGACAATAATTTTCAGCAACTATTACTGAGGAATAGATAGGTTATGTGTAGGAGTAGAACTCTTAATTGGCTTTCAAGATTTCTGGAAGAAATGAATTGAATTCAGTAAGCTTTTATAGTACCATTTTACTTTATATGAAGACTGTGTTAATCTTATTTAATGCCCAGGACTCAGGAGGTTTAGCTTCTTTGGTAAGAGAACATTTATTTTACTTCTGCTAATAGATTTTTTTTTTTAATGGGGAGCCCTATGGAAGGAGAAGGAATTTATACTTTATCTCTGATTTTTTTCTTTCTAAAATCCCTTGCTATTTGTTTTTCTCACTGACAGGCTTGAGTAGAAAATGCAGTTGATTGCAATTTGGAACATAGGCTTTAAGTAAAAATGTTTCACTTTAGGATCTGGACTTATCCTGCGGGAGTGTGGTCCTCTTTTGAAAACACATAAGGCATCTATCTGGTTATCGTGCACCAGTATATTAGGTACTTACTGCAGTACCATCCAGTGATCCCGGCGGCGACCCTGACTCTATTGTAAATGTAAACCCAGGTTATATTTGAGTGTCGTATATTGGTTGCAGACTGTGTGTGTGTGAGATCCTGTGTGGTTGGTTTGACATTATCCACATGTGACATTTTCTTTTGTCTCTCTAATACCCTTGACTGACGTTGGGATGGCGCTTGTAGAATATGAAGAGAAAGGAGCTTTATACCAATTAATCCCCGCAACAATACTTGAGCTAGGGCTCCGTTCTCTCCGTGTTCCATGTTGTGTGGAAAATCATGCAGCGCTCACGGGTACTCCCTCATCTCCTGCCCTTTGTCAATTTTATGGGGACAGCTGCTGCTTTCATGGCCGCGCTGTTGGCAGCTTTCACTTCTGGTCTTTGTTCGCTCTGCTCTCAGGTATTTGGAAGAGGATGTTTATGCTCCAAGTATATTTCCATCTCCACTTCACTTTCTAACAAGTGTCTTGTTCTAACTGTCGCCTGTGCAGAATGGCAGGATTCGTCCTGGGTCCGTTTCTCTCACTCTTCACATCTAGTCATCTTGGACTCCAGAATAAACTGAGAGTGTGGTTGCTTCTTAGGACGTACCCTTCTCCAGGTACTTCTGACTGTGCCCGCAGAGCTCCAGGACCCCCACGACCCTGTGTGTCTGTAGTTACCCTCGCGCACAGGTGTATTCCTTGCACAGTGCTGTTATGTGTCACCTTCCTCTTGCTTAATTTTTATTTTTGGTGCTAGGGCTGGAGCCCAGGGTCTCAGTGCATACCAGGCAACTGCTCCACCGCTGAGTACATCCCAGGGCCTGCCCTGTATGTTATCACCTGGCATCCACACTCCGTGCTCCTTCAGATATCCTTCCAAAGGCCTGCTACCTGAGGACACCTGATTAGAGAAGCTGTCCCTCGATCCCTGTTGAAACTCTCTCCCTTCTCTGCCTTTTTTGATAGTCTTGCAGCTGTTTGGCACACCATGGACTTTGCTGTGTGGCTTCTTCCACTGGTATGTGAGCTCCTTGAGGGCAGCTGTGGTGCTTCATTCATACCCTGTCCTCACCACCTGTAATAATGCGGGTGCAGCGGCACATGTTGATGCAGGGAGGGGGTGAGTTCGAGTCCAGACTGAACACTTTGGTGAGACCATGTCTCAAAAAATCACAAGCGAAAACTAGGGCTCTAGCTCTCTGCGAAGGTCTTGGATTCAGTCCTCAATGTTTGTAAACAAAAACAAAACTAACAAATAAAACCTGCCTCCACCCATCAGAAAGAATATACCTTACACGAATAGAATATGTAGATAAAGCAGGTCGAAGGTGTGTCTATCACTGTGGTAGGTGCGGCATTCCTGAAGGTGAGAAATTTGAGGAGATCCTCGAGGTGCATAATTTTGTTTCATTTGAATTACATACACTTTTCTACTTTGTTCTGTTCTCAAATGTACAAACCCCCATGTAAAGCAGCCTTCTATTGAAAGGGAGAAGGTGGTATCTTACAGGAATTATTTGATTGGGACATTCATTACTTTTTGCCGGTTGGAAAAGACCAGAAAATTATTAATGAGTTGACTTGAGGTGGTCCAGAGATTAATAAATGTTGCTGAGAATAGTACTGAATAAAGGCTTAGAAATTTAATTTAGAATTTCTTCTTGTTTTAAATGAAAATAGCAGCAGAAAATTGGTAGTATACACCATGCTGGCTATTCTCATAATCCTATTAGGACTTGCTGCTTTCTTTATTGGATTTAATAGCTGCTATCTCCCTTCTCATCGCTCAGTTCTTCTTAATATTTGTACTGTTATATATCTGAAAGACTTTTGTTGAAGTTTCCTTTCATGAGATGCCAAGTGATAGTATTTCAATATAAATATAACTAGAGAAGTCCTTTAAATACTTGCAAAACTCATCTTGCACACATTTACTGTCTTACAGCAAGAATTTCCAAAAATTAATCAAGTGGAAATTGTTTGGTAGTAAAAACTAGTTGCTTTTTTTGATACATTATGTTAGTGTGTTTTGTGTTGCTGTAACAAAACACTCAAGGCCGGGCGCTTTATAAAGAAATGGTTTACTTAACCCATAGTTCTGAGGTCTAAGAGCGTGGTGTTGGCATCTGCTTGCTCTGGTTAGGGCCTCATGTAGAGGCCACACATGGCAGGAGGGTGACATCCAGAGGGAGAGCAAGGCTTGTAACATCCTGGTCTCCCAGGCACTAAAGCAGGCCTGTGAAACGTGCAGCCGTGTTTCCTGGAGTGGCGCCCCCATCATCTCATGGCCATTCATTCCCAAGGCTTCCCTCCTCTGGCCCAGGGAAGCCAAGCTGCTGTTACCTGAACCCATGGAAGACACACGCAAGCCACATACAAGCCACGGCATGTGGTGAAAGGACAGCGATGGCCTTTTGTGCGTGGTTAGGGTGGAGGAAGGGATTCTGTGCAGCAGGGCTCTCTGTGACTCCAGGTTTCAGGAGACTTCATTGCGAAGCAATGGCAATTTGGATACTGAGAACACTGAGGGGCAGTGACAGAGGTTGCTGGCAACGTGAGGGTCGCTGCAGTACCAGGAACCGGAAGAATCAGCTGAAACACAAAATCAATTTTGGAATTTTTTTTTTTTTTTTTGTACCGGGGATTGACCTCACAACCTTGCGCTTGCCAGGCAGGTGCTTGTGCTGCTGAGCTAAATCCCCAGCAACTTGGGAAATTTGACCCTGTTATAAAATTTTCTTAAGGGCTTTCCTATTAATAACATCAAGAAACTGCTTATCATCCCCTGTCTTCATTTCATTCAGTATTCAGCAAAACTGCAGTGGTTTTTATGGCGTTCTAGACTTTAACTGCCAGGGGCTGAATATGAAAACTGGTTATCGGAGGCCAGATCTATGGTAGTTTTGAAGTAGAAAGTCAGGTTTAGTATTTAAGCATTATTTAGCTCAAAGCCTTTGATGATGGCATTTGTAATTAGATACCAGAATAATACTTTTATCTTAAAAAACCTAGCAGATAATTGTAAAAGTACACGGTTACATTCCATTGTGTTCTGTTTAGTAGCAGTAAATACTTTCACACTGTTGTACAGCTGCTGCCATGCCACTTCTTACCTCTAGAATATTCCCAAACTAAAACTGTACCCATAAACAGTAACTCCTTCCCCATGCAGCACCCCCACCCTCTCCACTGAGACTGACTTAAATTTTCAGTATTTTATTTATTTATTTATTTATTTTAACTTTTATTTATTTATTTTGGTACCAAGGATCAAACTCACGACCTTGTGCTTGCCAGGCGTGTGCTTAAACCACTTGGCTAAACCCTTGGCTTCAGTATTTTATGTACTAGGAATCATATAATATTTATCTTTTTAAAATCTGATTGGTAATGCTCAGTGTTCAGATTATAGCTCGTGTGGGAATGTGCTCCCTTTTAAAGGCGGAATATATTCTGCTGTGTGTATACGTTACATTTGCCTGTCATTTCATCTCTCGGTGAACACCTGGGTCCTTCTACCTTTTGGTTCCTGGAAACACTGCTGCTGTGAGCACAGGGGTCAAATATCTACTTGTTTTTGTTACTTTTTGTCTGATTGTTGAGACAAAATACCTAATCCCCAAAGTGAAGCAAAGGAAGGTTTGTTTATTGCAGTTCTTGTAGGTTTCAGTCCATACTCAGCTGGCTGCAAGGCAGGATGGCACTGTGGGGCAGGATTTCATGACCACCTACAACAGCAAGCTGGAACAGAGCAAAAGAGGGCAAAGCATGTCCCCTTCCCGTCCTCACACTGTATGCTGGGCAGATGCAGCACTCACATCACCAATCCCAGGGCTGGACAATGAAGCAGTCAAGAGCCCCGGATTCAGCCACGTCTGTGATTGCAGTGAGGCTTGGGGGGCCATCCGAACAAAACCATAACACTGCTGGAGTGTTTTTTTTTTTTTTTTTCTCCCTCTTTTTTGAGACACAGTTTCACTATGTAACTCAGGCTGGTGTTGAACTCGTAGCTGTCCTCCTGCCTCGGCCTCTTAAGTTGTGGAATTATAGGCATGCGCCACTATGCCCAGCTCAAGTCTTTTTTAACATTTTTTTTAATCCATAACCAAACATGGGTTGCTGGGCTATATAGTAATTCTCTCATTAATTCTTTGAGGGACTGCTATGAGGTTTTCTGCAGCAGCTACAGTGTTTTACATTTCCATCTATAATATTGTACAAGACTTACAGTTCCTGCACCCTTACCGCCTCGCCATCACTGTACCTTCTCCTGCTCCCCTTGTACACTATAGTGTGCATGTGCCTCTTTATGTGTGTGTGTATGAGTGTGTGTGCGTGCAGGTGTGAGGTGATACATAGCCTTGCGCTTCTGGGGGCTCCCAGCCTTGCAGCCTGACTTCACTCCCGCAGGACTCGTTTGCGGAAACATCATTCACGTGGCGTGACTCTGTGTACGTTGCTCCCTTTGGTGTCAATTGTGGTTGGTGCAGGAGCCAAACAGGTCTCCGATTCGTGGTGGTTAGCATTAGCACACAGAGCAGGGGTCGGTGAAGTTCCCGCAGTGTGATAGGAATGGGTTCAGACTTGGGGGAACCTCGAGGTCCCCTGTTGCAGCCACTCCCTTCCCTTGTGGCAGGATAGAATCTGTAGGTGAGAGAGACGTGAAAGGTTGTGACCACGTTGCAGTGCAGCGTGGTTTCCAAAATCAGGCAACGCGCCCAGTGGCCGGTGGCCTGAAGGTGCCCACCTGGGGCAGCTGGTCACCTGTCTGCGTCTCTCGGTCCACTAACCTCGGCCTCTTTCCACACAGGCAGATCTCCAGTTGGAGCAAAACCGGCAGCACTTTTACGAACTGTCCCTTGAATATGTCTGTAAGCTTCAGGAGATACAAGAAAGAAAGAAGTTCGAGTTTGTGGAGCCTGTGAGTATGGGACCACTGAGTGTTGCGGCACGGTGGCTAGAGGCTGTCACGTGTCAGTTTGAGCCAGCTGAGTATGGATGCCTGGCTGAGCTGGGGCAGGGTCAGACCAAGGGTCCTCTGCCTTGGTGATGTAGCCGTGTATGATGACTCTTGCTCCAGGAGAGCTGTAGGGGGCCATTTCTGGCATCTTTCTTGCAGTGTTTGCCACCATTTAAAAATCCCCCTGAAAGAATTTGTATTAGAATGTGACAAAGTAATTGTGTTTTGTGGGAGACACCTTTAGTAAGGTTTGTCCAAATTTTGATTTTCTTAGTAATTTTTAAACTGATTTCTAACATAACTCACAATCCTGTGGCCCTCTTTAAGTGGAAAACCTGTGTGTGGGATAGTGGAAGCAATTTTGTGAGTGACTTTAGCATTTTTTATATTTTGTATTAGCGCATGATTTTTGACTTAGGTGAATACATATGAATACAGATATTTTCTGAATCAAACTGAAGGGTATTTCACATTGCAGTTTAGCAAAGTAAATATTGGAACTTAAAATTCTCAATGTTAATATGCAGTTTTTTTGTTTTTTCTTAAACAACTTTATTGAGCTATAATGGAAGTACCATACAATTTACCCTTCATGTGTGTAATTTGGAGGCAACTGCCAAGGTGTGATTAATTAAAAATTAGCCAGAGGAAGCCATAAAATTTACTGAACCTCCTTTATAGTTTTCCTTTTATGTGAAATAATAATCTTACATTTATTTGACATGTGCAGTGCCTGGTCATGGTTCAGGTAGTTCCGAGGCCTCGATTGTTCTCTATTCCGTGCCGTAACTTGATGAGCTGTTCCTGCTTTCCCACTTAGTAAATAAGGAAGCAAAATAGAGCGAGTATCAGTGATTTGCCCATGGCAGGTGGCTGCTGAGCTTGGTAGTGGGCTGGCCATGTGGTGTCAGAGCCTCAATTCCCAAATCCATGCGGTGTTGGGAAGAGAATGAGTCTGGGGATCTTCAGGACCCCTTCTGCAGGTCGGATTGACTCACTCTAGAGACACTTAATACACGGTGCCCGACTCTGCCCTCTAATTAAGGGGCAGGCCGGGAGGTGGTACAGAGCTGAGAGTTTAATTACTGTCCTGCCTCTGCCCTGCCAGAGAGGTTGCAGTGCCTGGGATGCCACTGGAGATCTGAGCTCTTCGATTCTGTAATTTTACCTCCTCACAGGTTGACCTATGTGATTAAGGTTTATTAACCAGTGAGTGTTTGGATTCTGTGGACTATTATGGACAAATTGATGACTTAACACTTAATAGAGCATGCTATAAAAATGGTCTCATGGTGTTGATATGTGAGAAAAATCTGATTTTCTCTAAAGATATGTTAGTAAATGATGTGACTTGACTTCTAGTGCCTTCCTGTAAGTTACCTCAGTGGAAGGCAGTGAGAGGAGGGAAAGGCTGGGGTATAACCGGGCATCTTTCCCTGTCCTCCTGACCTTTGCTTTGTCCTAACCGCCCTCTTTCTCCTTTGTCTTAGATGCTGTCATTTTTCCAGGGAATGTTTACCTTTTATCATCAGGGCCATGAACTTGCCAAAGACTTCAATCACTACAAAATGGAACTACAAATCAACATTCAGAATGTAAGGAATTGGAAGATTCTGGTGTTTTAAAAAAAAAATGTGTGGAGTATGTACTTTTCCTGTGCTTGCTGTTTGGAAATCAAACTAGGAGCTGACTGAGGCGTTGGTAATGGGAAAGTGGGGCTGTGTTGCCACCTAGTGGTCAGCTCTTGTGTGACAACTGCTCGTCCCTTAAATCAAGGCTCACAAAATTCTGCCCCCTGGTGGCTCTTTGTATGCACTTCTAAGAAAACTGGTCCAAGCTGTCAGCTGTAAGCTGTGCCTTACCTTGACAGTAGAGCTTGCTGGCTTAGGGTTAGAGCTTTTAAACTACCATGAGCTAAATTTCTCCTCACGATTTTTATTCCTAGACAGACTTACGGAGCAGGGGGAGTTTATTCCCTTCATTTTAGGGACTAAACACATTTGACTGGTGTGTTGGTGCTTTTGGCCTTCGTGGTTTTCTTGTGGAAGCTGCATGTTCTCAGTCAGGTGTTAGATACAGAGATTTACAGAAGTCCATCGAGCATGGTGCCAGGTGTGATTTTGCTTGGGTAGTAAAGGCCTTTCCCACTCAGCCCTTCAGTGGATCTGAGACGTGCCCCAGTGAAGACGCTGCTTAGGCAGAGTTAACAGAGATGGAGGCCTTGTCAGGGCTTGAGCAGGCAGCCCTGCAACAGCACACACCAAAGGGGACACAGACAGACGGCTGGACATCTGCGTGGTGTCTGGTGCCTCATCTGTACTGCACAAGTAGAAGGTCTAGACGGATGCCTTTTATGTACATTTTGTTGCAGCGTTCTTTAGTTCTCTGTATATGGAAAGGTAGATGATAAAAGCCCTTGTGTAATTTATGCATCAGTTTATTTGTAGATCATGTGGATGCTTAGCTGGGCTCAAGTACCTAGAGTCATTGAATAGATTTTCATTTTCTTGTGATCAGGGTCCCAAGATCAGCAGAAAGAATTTTTAAGTATATGGTATGATTATGACATAGCATAACTTTTAAAAGACAAATAGACAGGTACCTGTTTGCCAGAAACCCCTTTTCAGTATCATTCTGTGTTTTCTGACACTTAAAGATGCTGTTTGGTGAGTCACTCTAAACCCTCACCTTCTTCAGACACCCCTAACTTGGTTTTATTCTCGTATAAGCCATTCTTGGTGTCCGCCCCACCTGTACTGTTGGGAGTGCTTGCCCGTGGGTGTCCTCTGGGCTTTGTCTCTCGGCCCCTCTTTTCTGGCAGTTTTGGGGATTGAACCCGGGCTGCATAGCTGAAGTCCTGCTTTGTTTCTCAGGCTGGATCTGAAGCACAGAGTACCTGGCCGTATGGGTGTGTGCCATTGTGTGTCTGCCTTTCAGTTCTGCTTTTAGCTAATTCTTTTTCCATCCGAAGTCCTAGCACCTTTGAAACACCGCCCTGCATCCTGTACCGTCTGTGGTACCTCAGTGGTGCTGTCATTTACTTATTTCTTGGTCTTTCATCTCATTTCCTGATGTTAGCTTTTAGTGTAATGAAGGGAAAGTGCTGGCTGTATAAAGCTACTGTTGCCAGAAGAAAATCCTCCTTACGTTATTTTTATGCTGTAAATGAAATATACCAAATTGTAGAATTAACGATCTGTATGTTATAATGTGATAAATAATTTAGATCAACTTTTTGGGATTTTATTATAGCAAAAAAAAAAAACAAATAGCAAAACCATTTTAAAATAAGAAAAATGATAAATTACTTAGAAGTGAAAACAGCCCATTTCCTTCACCTCATTATACCTTTTCTATTGTAAGATAGTTATACTTTTTTTGAGGGATGCAGTCTTCATCCATTTTCTATAATCTAGAGTAATAAATGAAAAGCAAGAAAGTAGCAAGATGGCTTTCAGGAAATAGAATTTTCAGATGAATGGAAATTGCATCAAAATTAAAGGATATTCTTTTAAAAAGTAACTTCAAACTCTTGTGATCTCTGTACTCAGAATATAGGGTAAGGAAGAAGACCAGAATAGAATTCTTCCTGGAAGGAAATACAGTAAGAAATTCTGAGATTCATAGCAAATATCTTGGAGAAACTTAAGAATGGCTAAGAAACATTTAAGAATATGTGCAAATATTTTTCCTTAGGAAATACTAATTTAATTTTCTTCAGTGACTTAATGAATGTAGTGTTGCCTAAATTGTTACGGAATGCTGATGATTGCCTTGTTTTATTTGGACTGTATCTCATTAGGCTTCATAAAAGTTTTACGATGTAGAGTTTTGCTTTATTTCTATTTTGACAGGTGATATAAAGGAGGTGTAGAGAGAAAACATCCTTTGTTCTTTGAAGTTTTTATTGGTACATGTTTACAGTACACAGTGCTTGTATTCTTGTGGGAAGTTGGCATAGGTACATCTGTAACACATCTAATTCTTTTTTCATCTTGGTTCTCCGATCTCTTATTCCGCTTCGCATTTGCAAAAGCTCTGTCTCCTGGATTCCTATCATCCAGCCTTTATTTTGCTCTTTGAATTATTTATATTTTGGGTTTCTCATATAAAAGCAAAACTATGTGGTATTCAAGTCTGTGCATCTGATTTTTTTCGCTTAACATTGTGGTCTCAAGGTGATCCATTTTCCTACAAATGACTCAAATTTATCCTCCTTTATGGCAGAGGCACTACTCTATATGAATATCACATTTCCCTTACCATTTATCTGTTGTTGAGTGGCTGCTTCCAAGATTTAGCACTGTGCTGCTGTGAACATGGGGATGCGTGTCCCTGTAGTGTGTCTCTTAACTCTTTTAGGAAGATAGATGGAAGGGGAGTAGCTGGATCCAATGGAATGTCTGTTTTTAGTTTTGAGGCATCTCCATTCTGACTTCCATAGTTTATATCCCCTCCAGCAGTAGACAGAGGGCTCTTTTTCTTTTCAGCCTCACCAACATTTGTGGAATTTGATTTTCTTATCATAGCCATTCTTACTGGATTAAGGTGGAATCTCAGTGTTCTAATTTTCAGGAAAAATCCTCTGTCAAGTTTGACTGCTTTAAGGGCGGGGCCAGCCTGAAACGTGGGCAGCCTTACTCCAGGCCGAGGAGGTGAGCGTAGCTTCAGATTTAGTGTTGGATTAGAGAAGGTTGCTATATGCTGTGCCTGGGACCAGTAGCTACAGGATTTGGGGAATGTCCTGATGTGACTGGTTCCCTGGACCATCCCAACTTGTGGATAGCTGGGGGAGTCCCCTTAACTGTAAGAACTCAGATTCAGCCACTTGCGGGACATCTCGCCTCCTTTTTCCTCTCATTGATAGTCACCTGTCTGTTCCTCGCCTGGTAGATGGTACCTTACGAGTGTTCACACCTTGGTCACCTGTTCTCCTGGTGCCAGTCTTACTTTCTTTCTTTTTTTTTTCTTTTTTCTTTTTATTGGTACCGGGGATCAAACTCATGACCGCCTGCTTGCAAGGCAGGTGCTTATGCCGCTGAGCTAAATCCCCAGCCCCTCAGTCTTACTTTCTTGTTGCTGGGCAAAGTTAAAGGAAGAAAGGTTTATTTGGCTTATAGTTTGTAGAGGGTTCAGGCCATGCTCAGCTGGCTCCAAGGGAGAGTGGCATAGCAGAGGGGCATCCCAAAGGCAAAGTAGTCCATGGCAAACTGGCAGGTGAGAATGCATTAGTTGCATTAGTCCTCTTTCTGTCCCTTCTATCCTATGCAGGTTGCTTACCCTAAGGTGGGTGCAGCACACCCTTAAATCTTAGCCAGAACTATGCCAAACTGATCAGTGGACTAATTTAGTAATCACACACCTTTGATTTCAGCATCACACACTCTAGATCCACCCCCCTCTTAAAAGCCACCCTTGCATGACTGCATGAGGGTTTAGGGGGAGACATGTAGACACAAATCATAATGTGTGTGTGTGTGTGTGTGTGTGTGTGTGTGTGTGTGTGTGTGTGTGTAGGTTATCAGAGCAGGCATCATGGAGTCTACTCCTGGTGTATTGTAGTAATTTCCCAAACATTCTACTGATTTTATTACACTCTGCAGCCTTCACTTTGTGCATGAACGCAAAGTATTGAGTAGTTAATGGACCACCAAGAAGGAGAGAAGGGAAAAATAAATAAAACCGGCTGTGTGTTCTCAGATCCCTATTTACCTTGACCTTCAGAGTTGTATTACTGGGTAGAATGCATAGTGCATAGCTCCTTCTCCCCTTCTCTACCCCTTCAGTATTGTGGCTCAGCCTGACACCTCAGCTTTCCAGATATGCTCAAGTGTCTGGAGTCTCCCCTGGTCCCCAGATAGAATCCATCTCCCCGATATGTTTGTAATAAAAAGGTTAATTTATAAAGCTTAATAACTTAAGACTGGTTCATTTGGAAATGTTTGTTTGCTAAGCCACATAAAGAAAAAGAAGGAAATCAAGGCAGTGGTATCTATTGCTATAGGATAGTGGTAGGCTGAGATCTACCTTATAGGTTAGTGTGAGGATTAAAGCACTATAAAGTGTTTTTCAGTACTTATAGTAACAATGTTTTAAAATATTTTTTGTTTTTGTTGTGATGGGGCTTGAACCCAGGGCCCCATATGTGCCACTATTCTGCAGCCCTAGACCTCAGATACAACATTAAGTATATAAATGTGACCTACTGTGACATTCATGTCTAATGTGATTGTAATTAGAGGACACCTCTAATTACAAAAGTCAAAATCAGAATTCAGGATCAGCAAGTGCTAGTCTATCTAGTGTAATGATTTGTGTTCAGATTACAAAGTTTTCATCCCTACTTCAATTGAGTCACCATTGACCCGAACATGGAACATCTAAAAAATAGGTGAACCTTCCCTTCATAGTGCAGAGCCCGGAGGAGAGAGGGCAGGGTGGCCAGAGGGGCACTGCGTGGGTGAGGATGCTGGAGTGTGTGGGCGGCTGCTTCTGTTGTACAGATGAGTTAATTAAGAAAAATGAGCAAATATGTGTCTGCGAGGAGATGAACCAATGTGGAATGGGATAGGCCAGAAAGAACCTGCAGCATTGGTGTGGGGTTAGATTTATGGATGTGGCGTCAGATATTTGTACTTACATAGATGTAGAAATAATGATGTTTGCTTACATATGTCTGTGTGCGTGTGTGTTTCCAAAGTCCGTCTACCGAAAGCTTGAGGAGGGTTTAGAATACTTTACCTATGAGCACACAGCCCAGGTCTTGGTTGCCAATGTTCTCCTCCACTGAGAGGAGCTCCTTTGGAGAAAGAGTTGAGTGTAGGACTGGGTTGGGGAAGGAACAAAAACTTGAGATGCCTCATTACACCAGCTAGTGAGCTGAGAGCATCAGAGGACATGTCAAGAGAGGAGCCAGCCTGAAGGGGCTCGGGCCAGGCTAAGCGGCAACAACTAATGTGAGTTGAAACAGAAATAATGAGGCTATTGGATACAAACTCATGGGGTTAACTGCGGGGAGGAGTGAGAGCAAGAGTCACACACACACACAAGTATGTAGACGTGAGGTGAGGGCTAGAAAGAATCTCAGCAGAATGGCAGAGAGACTTCAGAGTGCCATCCAGACAGGGACAGGAACAAGAAACCCTTCAGACATGAGAGGCAGCGAAAGAAAGAACCACTTCACCAAAGAGCCTTGCATTTTCTTAAAGGTGCATACCCAAATTGTTGATCCTTGTCTAGCTCTTCATTTGTGTGTAAAATCTCTGTGGATAGGTTTTCTCTTTTCCAGCCTACATTCACGAGACTCGCCATCCCTTAGAAGAAAGTACTCTCATACCATTTTTCTACTCTTAAGACCCCGGGCAACCCTTTTCATTGTAGGGAAGAGAGAGGAGAAATTTCAATAATAATTTTCCCTCTCAGCTTCTCTGCGGTTTCACATCAGCAGTTTTTTGAGATTAATGCAATTACTTTCCAGTCTGGGTAAAAGAAATGTTCAGACTCCCAGTGGTGTGCTGATTCGTCACAGTGGCCGTGGTAATTTTGTCATCTCACCTTGCGTGCACAGTTCCAGGGGAGCTGTGTGACAAATACTGACAGACCAAGTCTCCTGGGTTTAAGAAACGTGATTGGTCTCTTCAGATATCAAAGTTCTTATTTGCAGGTGAGATTTTTTTCCTCCCTTCTCAGGGAAGAATTGTCAAAAATGGACAGTCATGTTTATTAGTTTGCAAAAAAAAAAATTCAAGTTTTCACTGGTTAGATTGTTAGTGTAATTGTGACAGCCTGGGTGTTGCCAAAAATTTCTCAGATACAAATATTTTGGCCTGTTTTTTTTTTTTTTTCGTAAATCTAGGGTTTAATAATAGTGTGAGACCTGACAGTGGGGAATTTTCAGTTGAATAGAATTATTCATTTGTTAGAAAATTTCAAAAACACAGAACTTCTGGTTCCTGTGGCTCATGTTCCTGTTAATTATTTTACCATCATTCTTTGAACAAAAAATTGGGATATTTTGACAGATGTATAAAAAAAATCCTGCATATTTAATTCTTATTACCCAGAATCTTTAAAAATGTACATGAAAAAATTCATAAGAACTTGAAATGTTTTTGTGTGTCTTATACTTTTCAGACCCGAAATCGATTTGAAGGAACAAGATCGGAAGTGGAAGAGCTCATGAACAAAATCAGACAGAACCCCAAGGACCACAAACGAGCAAGTCAGTTCACAGCAGAAGGCTACCTGTATGTCCAGGAAAAAAGTAAGAGGTCTCCGAGCACTGCTGGACAGCCAGTCGCAACCCCCCGGCCCTCAGCACTTGGTCCCTGTGGGTTCTGCTTCTGTGCTTGCAACTAGATTGAAAATGTTTGTGAGAACAACAGAAAGCACAAGTCACTGCATCTGTGCTGGACATGTCCAGGCCTTTTTCTTTTTCTTTTAAACCACATGGTACAACTAGTTCCATGGCATTGACACTGTAGTAGGTATACTAAGTAATCCAGAGATTATTTAAACTGTATATATATATAGGTATGTGCAAACACACTGCTATTTTAGCCATGGGGCCTGGGAATTCAAGGAGTTTGGTGTGTGTGGGGGGCGTGGGTCTTGGAGTCCATCCTCTGCAGACACCAGAGGACTCTTTTCCTCCCTCCCTGACTCCCTCCTTTCCTCTCCCTTTTTTCCCTCCCCGCTTTTTTCCCTTCCCCTCTCCTCCCTTTCTCTTCCTCCCTCCAGATGAAATCTGTGATCTGTAACCCTTCTTTTTCCTCTCCCAACATAACCTAATTAACTTTTCTGGAAACTACATGCATTTCTTTTAAATGAGTTATTTTTTTCCCTCTCCTGAGTTTGTCATTTGTGATTTGCAGATATACAAGGTTTATTTGATTGTATAGGAAAATTGTGGTGCTAATAAGTGTTACTGCTCTTTAAGAACCTGGCTTCTCTTGGGGAAAGAAAAAACTGTCAGCCTGTGTTGAGTGTAATCTGAGATTTACGGTAATTAGATTTTGTTTTCTTTCTGAAAGTTGAACCCAAGATCTTGTATGTGCTAAGCAGGTGCTCTACTGCTGAGCTGTATCCCCAGCCTTGACTTGTACTGGCATGTGGCACTCTAGATGTTGGGGACCCGTGACATGGAAGGCTAAGAGCTCTCTGACTGGAAATAGTGATTCTAAGAAGAGTGAAAACAGGTTTTGACAGGGTCCTGGTGCATGTAGCGATGGCTCACCCCTTCTTAAGTCTTACATTCTTCATTCATATATTCCTCCCCACTCCGACTCTGTCTTACTGTAACTCTTCCTGTCTGTCTGTCTGTCTGTGACTCTCCTGGTGCTAGGTATTCAAACTAAGGGCTTGTGCACGATAAGCAAGCATCGTCTATGGGCTACACCCTTCACCAAACATGCTTGATTTCTAAAGCTTTGCTTTAAGCGGCTGCTTCCCGAAGTGCTATTAGTAGGTTTAAAGCCCTGGATGGGCTTCTACTAGGGATGCTTTTACTCAGCTCTGTGATTCTACAGTTCTGTTATTTTGAAAAGCCAGAATTGAACATTGAGTCATCATATATATTGAATGGAACTTTTGTAACGCTTGTGAGCTCATAGAAACAAGAAGTAGAGTTTACAGTTAGGAGATTTTCATCCATGAGATAACTGTTGGTTTTTCTAGTACACTTTAAAAATGAATGCCTTAAATCACTTCTGAATTGCTGAAAATATCTTAAAATTGCATCTCAAATGATTCTTGCAGATCATGTTATTTCCTCTGGTTTCCCCTTCGATCTAGTCCACCGTTATTGTTGATCTGTACTTGTTACTGTGTACTGGGTTTTTCCCCTGCCAGCCTGTGTTTGGAGCTGTGCATGTCTAGTTGTTTCTGCAGAAAAATGCAAAGTTCTGATTTTGTTTTTGTTGCAGGACCAGCTCCATTTGGTTCCAGTTGGGTTAAACACTACTGCATGTACAGGAAAGCGGCCAAGAAGTTCAATATCATCCCGTTTGAGCACAGATCTGGGGGGAAACTGGTAAGGATTTGTCTTTATTCTATGTCTGTGTTGAGAGAGAAGCTTTGGAATTGTCAATGCAATAGTTTATGTTCACTAGTAATAAGATCTGTTTTTTAAAGATTGAAATCTTTTTTTCTGTTTTTAAATACTGCAGCAAGAAAACAATTCATAGTTTTTTGACTTGCATACCTGGGTCCTTAAGAGTTTTTTTTTTTTAAAGAAAACAATGGAAACTTTTATTTCACTGTCTTTGGAAGGTAAACATTGCACCTTCAGTACGCTTTTGTGACTCCGGGTCAGCAGTAAGGCTCTTCTGCTAATTACACGGGAGGTCTGCCTTGCACATATGTTGTTCATTGCTTGATCTATATTGACTTTTGCTTTCACTCAAACAGACCTAGAAAGTTCTTATGTAGGCCTTTTCCATGCAATTAACGACTCTTTCCAAAGAAATTAGCTGCAAATTGAAGCATGTCTTAGTTACTTTTTACTTGTCGCTGAGACAAAATACCTGAAGCCCAAGTTGGGAAAGGAAAGATTTATTTCTTACAGTTTTTGGAGGTTCCAGTCCACACTCAGTTGGCTCCAAAGCAGGTGGGCATGGCTGGGCCACAGTTCATGGCGGCCGCCAGCAGCAAGCAGGCACAAGCAAAGAGCAAGACACACCTTCTTCCTGACATTACATCATGTCCTGGCTCCACCCCTATGTGGGTGGAGCAATGACATCATCAATCCAAGCACTAGATAATGAACCAATCACAAATGTACAATGCAAACTCATGAGGCCTGGGGGCCACAGACATAAACCATGACAAAGCATGATAGTAAAAAGAGAGCAACAAGCCCCCAGGAACTCTTTCTGGTAGGAAAGAGTCTTGATGCATATTTTGACTTTTTTTTTTTTTATTTTAATCGGTACCGGGGATCGAACTCATGACCGCCTGCTTGCAAGGCAGGTGCTTATGCCGCTGAGCTAAATCCCCAGCCCGATGCATGTTTTGAATAGAAGATGTAGCTCCTAATGATGATGATCACCGGGAGACGAGCTCCTCCCACTGGTAATGAGTGTAAATAGGTAAATGTGGAAGTAAGCTCACTTCCGGGTAGGTATTCCTGAAAAGTGCTTCAAGCGTGTTGTGCTAAGAACACACTAAGGTAATGAGATGCCTGTACAAGGGTTGCGGAGGAGACGTGGAGCGAGGAGAGCACTCCTGAGGGCCAGTCGGGTCGGCCTGCAGTGCTGAGTCTGAGCTTTCTGTCAGCGAATCCAGGGTCTGAGCTGTTTCTGTGTAGTGAGATCATTCGCTTTGAGTCTCTAAGTGCTAAAAAACTGTATACAAGCTGGGGATTTAGCTCAGTGGCATAAGTGCCCACCTGGCAAGTGTGAGGTCGCGAGTTTGATCCCTGGTACCAAAAACAAAAACCAGCCAAACCAAAGCCCCATCAGAATATGCTATGATATTTGGAATATAGATATGATTTCTGACTATTTGTATATTTATTTAAAACATTAGCGATCCTAATAACCTAGAAAATAGTAAAATGTTCTGGGAGTATATACTTAGGCTTAGAGTTATTCTTTACGGAGTGCCTCTCTGCCTGAATTGCCTGTCTCCTGTTTTCCTCCTCTTATGCTCATAGAGGAGACAATCTAGTCAGATAAAGTAGTGTTAGAGTAAAACAAAAATTTAGATTCAGAGTGGTTGATTTAGGAAACAGGAAAACTACAGATGATAGGTTTAGATGATTGTAACATCTGATCGAAGGCCCTGAGTGTCCTTGCAGCCTGATACAAATTCATATAGAACCACAGGTTTTTTTTTTTTTTTTTTTTTTGTCTTAGTGAGATATGTTCTTGCTGTCGTACTTAGGTTGGCCTCGAACTCTTGGACTTGAGTGATCCTCAGCCTCCTCCCTAGTAACTAGGACTGTAGAATCTTCTATCTTTTCTGGTTTGAATGGCAATTTTTATAAGTCAGAAATGGCCATAAATTCACTGTGACATGTCGTGTGGTGTAATATAAAGTAACGACAAATTTTTCACTCTTAAAAATAATACAGTAAGAGAATAACATTCTAGCATCTTGAAACTGTACTACTTATTTATCATTTAAATGCTGCATTGGTGAAGTCTGATTTAATATTTATACAGTCAGAGAAAACAGGTAAAAAACAGTGAGAGCAGGAAAATGACCAAAAGTGATTGATACTTAGATTTTAAATAATGCTTAAAATAAAGTAGTTTGAAAGAAAACAGGATAGAAGAATGTGAAAGAAATTTGGATAGAGACTAAAAATGTGAATTCTGGCTCCCCCAGGGTAAGTGGCTCATTGCATAGATGCTTACATTTCTGAGGACTTTAAGCTTATTTCATTTTATTTTTTATTTTTCAGGGGGATGGAGAAGTGTTTTTCCTGAAAGAATGTACCAAAAGGCACACGGACTCAATCGACAGAAGGTTTTGTTTTGACATAGAAGCTGCTGACCGGTGAGTTATCAGCATTATTAGCTGTGATGAAAGAATCAGTTTAAACTATGGCTAACAAACAGAGTTGGTTGCAGCTGTGGTTTCTCCGGCCCAGGGCGATGCCATCTTTCACTCTTCCAGGCTGTGGCTCCCCTGTGCTGTGTGGTCCTGGTGGCTGTGTGGTGGCGCAGCGACAGCTTCAAGGTGGCCGAAGTTTGAAGTCATTCGAGCCTTTTATCATTTGAAAGAGTACCCTCAGAGCATTTCAGTGTTGATCTGAGTTCTGATTTCTGGCAGAAGAGGCCAAGAAAGGACAGAGAGGAAGTGGATGCCAGGGCTAAGATGGAGCGGTCGTAGCCATGATAGGACTGTCTTAAGGCTCGGCTGTATTTTCAGGGTGTGAGTCTGCGTGTGATGAACAGTCTTACACAAACACTCTCTGTTCAAAGACCAGTTATCTCTTGTTATTCGATGACTTTTATTTCCTTATCAAAGAATCTTGTGTCAGAGAGGAGGCTGTACAGAAGCAAGTTCATCCATTAATACTGCTGTTTGCCGCTAATTTCTGTACTCTTCCGTAGTGCTAAGGGAATCGTGGTGCTCCTAGAACATTTCTTTTTTAATCAAGCAGGAAAGTGGTTCCTTGCCAGCCCTGGTTTTGGCAGCAGTGATTTTTAGATAAGACTCTTTCATGTTTGCATAATAAAAGCTTATGAGATGCGATTTTTAGAAGCAAACATCAGTTCAGGTCAGGATCCAAGAAGACAGAAATAATTAAAGCTGCTTTTAGATGTGATAGCTGAGTTGGAACATGGAGGAAAGATATGTGCTAAAAAGGAACTGAAAGAATTGATAACCAGGTGCATAAAAATGTGCCTTCAGGAGCTAAGATAAAGTTAGCATGACCAGGAAAAAGGTAAGTAGGGAAATAAGCATTTGCACAAGATTGAGAAAGAAAGAAAGTGATGTCTCAGCAGTTGTTATTAATTGGTTCCTGGAGTTGTGATGAGTGCCAAACAAATTGTTTTGGCTGGAATCATAGCAATGGGTAGTGGCAAGTTCTAGCTTACCCAGACAGAGGACCAATACCAGGACAATTTTTTGTGTCAAAATGTGTCGTGTTTGAAAGCAGTTGAGTACTAAGATATGACTGGTATAAAAGAGGTTAATGTGGGAAGTCAAAAAGAACCTGTTCCAAAACCAGAGAGGAGCTTTGGTCTGTATTGTACAATCTGAGCACAAGCCTGCAGGTCAGCAGGAGTGGGATTCTGTGGAGCCTGGAGCCAGTGTGCGCTGTCCCATCTCATCCTCACTGTCTGCCAAGTGGGGGGTGAATCCCTGAAGGTCCTGTGGAATGGAAGAGCTATGATTCGAACCTCTATGTTTGGCCCCCAGAAGCAGAGCTTTTACCACTGTGCTATAGGCCCCAGCAGGTCACCACACAATTAGGATGTTGCTTAAGTAATTGACAGAGGTGAATTTGCAGCGTTGATTATTAAAAAAAAATGTTAGGAAGGTGAATTAATTTTGCTTTGAAAGCAGGATATTTCTAGCCCTTTCGTAACTCTTCAGAAGCAGTTGATTATTTTTGCCCATCCCCGTGTTTTATGTAAGACTTTGATCACTGAATGCTTTTCCTTGAAGCGCGCAGCCCTTGCTGTGATTGTAACCATGATTGTAACGTTATGATTGTATTCTCTTTTGCTCATGGATCAGGGAGTGCGTCTTTTGGGGTTATTTTCATGAAAAATATTTTCATATTTTCATGTAAAAGCTAGTATCTAATAAGTAAATTCCTGTAACTACCGAGGAACTAAAAGATGATCTGTTCTGTTGGTTTTTAAACTGCTTTATAGAGAGACTTTTCAAGCAAAATTTTACATTTATGTGTACAATACAAGAAAGAAAACTTGCTAAGCAGAGCGAGAGGATCTGGGTCCCTACCAGTCCAGCTGCTGCTTTTTCTTATAATATCTCTCATTTATTTATGTTGCCATCCATTTATTTGTGTTGGGCTCCTGACCGTGGGACATAAGCTAGTGGAGATGCTGTGCTGAGGCTGTGATGTCTCAGCTGATTACTGAGGATTTATTTTGAGCCAGCTGGGGCAGGGGATAGTCCATGTGAGGGAGATTTTTATTTTTTTATTTTGGTCCCAGGAATTGAACTCACAACCTTGTGCTTGCCAGGCACAAGGCGCCATGCTGCTGAGCTGTATCCCTGGCTCTTGTGGGAGATTTTTAGACATAAACAGGATGCAGGTGTAATTAGGTGGTGCCATGCTAGGATGGGGAGTGGGGAGGAGCAGGAGGGGGGTGGTGATGAATTCAGGTTGGATCATGCTGCATTAGCTCACTCAGGGTCTCTGATGAAAGAAACACAGAAGGAAGTCAGGCATAGTGCGTGGGCAGCTACAGTAGCATTCACCCTGTCACCATCCTACTTCCTGAAAACTGCTCCCCGTCTTAGCATGGCACCACCCGGTTACACCAGAAGCCTCCCCTCCAGACTTCCCTGCATCAGGTTTATGTCTAAAACTCTTCCTTATGTGGCTCTCCGAGCTCCCACTCTACAGCTCTCACTCTTGTCCACTCTTAGCTCAAATCTTTCTCCGCTCTACCAGAGTAAGCTTTGAAAAAGACAAATATAATTATGTTTATTATCGGTACCCTGCTTAAAAATGTCATGTATTAAACTGGAGCCCCAAGTGTAGGCCCCCATGCTCTCTCCCCGCTCACCTCCATTCTTCTCAGCTCTGGGCTCTGGCAATGCTGGATCTCATCCGGGGACCTCCAGTGGGGACCCCCTCTTTCTCTGCTCTCAAACCTCCACACGTACCACCCCCTCTGCCCCAGCTGGTTCAGTTCCTCTCTTCCATTCCATGTCCAGTCCCTGCTTTCTCAGACCTCTCAGTTTTGGAGTCCTCTGGGCTCAGTCCTTAGATCTCTTTTCCTTGACGCACATTCCCTTATGATCTCATCCAGCTTCATAATTTTAAGTGGCATAACTATATGAAATTTTTGATAACTCTCAAAAATTTATTATCTCTTACCTGAGTTCCAGATTCTTCAGCTGCCTGCTGGGATGTCTAATAAACGTTCCAAGCAGTACCAAAATTGGGGGAGGATGTATTGATTGATTTTTGTAAAATTTTCAAGAAAAAATTGTTTTGGTGGGTAATTGTTTGGTGGGTAAATACCCAGCACCCCATGAGTGTTGTGTGACTGTTCTACCATTAAACTATAGTCCCTGGAACCCATTAATTTTCATTGCAGGGTGTATACTGTCTTTATGGGATCCAACATCTTATATAGGTGTACCAGTTTAGTGTCATTTAAAAGCTAATATAAATATACTTGCAAAGCAGTATGTGTTTAATGTTAGTTTTGCCCATTTAAAAAGCTCTTGGGTTAGCTTCTTCATAAGTGTTCAGAATACATTTTCTTTGTGACTTCTTACAGTCTTCACAGTCAGGCAGCTACTTTAAAATTTCTGATGCCTGTTGTTTGTTGTTTTTGGTTTATTCCCTAATTTCTGAGCAGCAAAGCGTGTGCTCCTGTTTGCTGTTTCCAGAGTAGAGGGTTTGGGGCTCTGGGTGGGCAGGAACCACTTCCTCCACTGTCAGTGTTCATCCACTTGGGGAGCCTTAGTGCCCAGCGGGCTTGGGATGGGATTGAATGTACATGGAGCTGTAATTCTGGTGCTTTGAAGGCCTTAATTAGTGAGAGATTTGAGATCAGCTCTTTCTCGTCTGTTTCCCTCATTTCTGGCCAAGGAGACCACTAGGAATTATAAGTAATTTGTTCTTTGTCTATTAGATTATGAATTCCAAGAAGGAGAGAATTTGGTCTCATTTAGCACTGCTTGGTTCTGCAGTTCCAAATGAAATGCTTTATTTGTGGCAGACGTGTACCATATTTGTCCTGGATTAAATGGAATGGAATTGTTGCTCACAAGTGACAGAACTGGGATTAGATTCAATCAAGCAAGCGTCAGGCAGCCATCCTTTTCTTCTCCACTGCATTGCTGTAGCACAAGCTCTGATGTTTTCATTCCACTTAAAGAAAAATACATTTAAACCCGTTTTGAGTGTGCGGATTTTGTAAATGGGTTTCTGGTGGGAGTTTATACAGCGTTCCCATTGGCACCCTTTATATAGCAATTTCATGGTTGATTGCTTAGGTTTAATATAAAGAAACTTTGCCTTCTTTCCAAATACCTATTTTTGCAATTTTTTACTGTGATAGAAGAGCAGCCAGGTAGCATTGTGAGAGTAGGTGATGTTTAATAAGGGGCAGCGTAGTTCTGGGGCTTGTATTTGATCTGTGCATATGTAAATCAGGAGCTTTCACTGAACTGCATGAGTTCAGCTCAGGTTTTGTTGCCTGTAACAGGAAGAGTCAGTCGAAGTTTTGAAGTTTATTTTTTATTCATTTGGGAAGCTGGAGCCAGCCAGCTCAGGTTTCACAGAAGTATTTTGGTGTCAGATTTTGCCTTCTCTTGGGAGCAGCTCAGGTTCCCAGGAATTTCATCTCCAGGAGGCCTGCTCCTGTTTGCCTTGTAGCATTGACTTTGGTCACAGGAACACTTCCCAGATGCTGCACGTGTGACTTCTGCCCACACACCGCTGTTCTGAACAGCATCCTATATAGTTACACCTCATTGCAAGGTGGGCTTTTAGGTCCTTCAGTTAGAAAACTGCTGTCCTGTTTCCAGCATCCACAGGCTAATCTAATTCTTAGGGACTCAATTACTGAGAACAAAAGGGAAATGACTAATCTGGGTCGGAGCTGTGATCTATAAGTCATTACTGTCTCATTAGTTGTGGGATGGATATGTGCTTCATTTTATTCTCCCTCAGTTCACTAAAAGGTTACTTTGAATATTTTCTTAGCTAAGAGGTAGTTTTCAAAAACAAGTGGGGTTTTTTTTGGTATTAGGGATCTTGAACTCATGACCTTGCATTTGCCAGGCAGGCGTTTATGCCACTGAGCTAAATCCTCAGCCCCTAAAAACAAGTT